ACAAGAGCCTTTTTTCCCCCTCAGTCATCACTAGAGAGGGCTGAGGGCTTGACAAAAGGTAGATCCACCTTTTGTCAAGCATAGGAAAAATACATAAGACATAACAGTCCCTACTTTGTCTTATATCTTTTGACTGTGTTGGAATTTCAGTAAAAAATTCCAAAACAGTCTTTATGAGCAGCCCATAAAGATTTTATCTTCAAAAATGTATAGCAGGGGTAGGCAACCTTCGCCATTCCAAATGTTATGGACTAAATCTGCCATAATGCTCTTACAGCCATAATGCTGGCAAAGTGTCGAAGGTTACCTACCCATGAAGTATAATCAGAAAAAATATTATTTAACCCCTTCCCGACCGTGGACGTGCAGGGTATGTCCTACAAAAAACGTCCGTTAATGACCGCGGACATACTCTGTATGAATTAGCCATGCACAGTGCACGTGTGTTTAACTACCTACTTTCATTTCCTGTTTCCAGGTCATTTTCTGTTATGCCGAAAAAAAATGTCCAAAAAAAAGATCAAAAACCATGACTGTCCCAACTGATCCAGGACAACTCTTAAAATATTTTTAATAATATAAACATTGGAACATTGTAAAAGAAATGTATTAAGAACTTTTCCTTCTAGCACAGTAAGCTTTAGTGATACAAACTATGAAACCAGTGTTAAAGGATCACTATAGGGTCAGGAACACAAACATGTATTCCTGACCCTATAGGGTTAAAACCACCATCTAGCCACCCTGGCCCCCTCATGCCTCCATAAATATAGTAGAAATCTTACTGTATTCAAGCCTGAAGCTGTAACTCTGCATGCTGTTAGACTCAGAAAACCCAAACAGTCTGCTGACATCATCAGAAGTGGTAGCCTGATCCAATCACAATGCTTCCCCATATGATTGGCTGAGATTGACAAAGAGGCAGATCAGGGGCAGAGCCAGCATGATTCAAACACAGCCCTGGCCAATCAGCATCTCCTCATAGACATGAATTGAATCAATGAATCTCTATGAGGAAAGTTCAGTGTCTGCATGCAGAGGGAGGAGACACTGAATGTTTGGATGCATTTTAGGCAGCCATGACCCAGGAAGGATCTCTAACAGCTATCTGAGGAGTGTCCAGTGACGTTTTCACTAGGCTGTAATGTAAACACTGCATTTTCTCTGAAAAGACAGTGTTTACAGCAAAAGGCCTGAAGGTAATGATTCTACTCACCAAAACACATTCAATAAGCTGTAGTTGTTCTGGTGACTATAGTGTCCCTTAAACATTCATAAATGAAACTGCATGTGATGCAAAGAAAAGGGTGTATTAGTACATTTTTTTCTACTCAAGCAGATCCCAAGCAAATTTTCATGTAAGTGACCATAAAAGAATAAAAAGAGCATTTTGTTTCTTGGAAAGCAAGGGCAGCCCTGATTTTCAGAATCTGGAACAGAAGGCAAAAATCTTTTTACCCCACGGGCATGTGGATGAAATCAGTCTGCTGTTCTGTAACGCGAAGGCAGGGGCCACTTCAATTTCTGTGTCAGGATTACAACGGACTAAACTGAAACGTTTGGAAATAGAAATCCTCCAGAAACAAAAAAAAAAAATCTTATCAGTTCCTTTTTACTGCAACTCAAAAAGGTTGTATTTCCTGGGTTTACTCACTAACGTGTGAATGGTCACATAATCAAATTAATTAGTTTTTTTATCTTTTTATTCTTTATTTATCGTCATACTTATCGTGTGACCATAACAAAAAGCAGGGTATGTGCATATCCAGTTGTACAATTAATCACAATAAGGTATACAGACATGTCAAGTGCTGTTGTACATATTGCACTGTAATGGTAAATGCTGATATCAAATTGAATTTTAAAGTTTAGGCTAAAACAAACCCCTCCCAAACAACTTCCCACTCCACCCAAAAAAAATCTCCAAAAGGGCTGCTTTTTTATTTCAGCTAATTTTGATTAAAATGTCCACTTTAAAGCGGCACTGTCATGCCGAATCCCGTTTTTTTTTTAACCCCTCTCCCGCCTCCACTACATCCAATAGACCCACTAGTCACCCCCAAATGCCCCTAAGCCCCCCACATTACCTATTTTTAAATCCTTATTTTCTGCCCCGATCTTGATTCAGGGCGCCGCCATCTTTGTGTAGGTAGGTGAAGTCCCTCAGGGACACGTCATCTGCCCACACTAGGCAGACACTGAGATTCCCGCACATGCCCAGTGAAACACCTGGACATGCGAACGGGAATTTCAGCTATTCATTCATTCATCAGACAGACGAATGAGTGAATAGGTATATCAGCCGAACAAACAAACAAACAAACACAATGTATCAGTGTATGTTTGTTCGTTTAGCTTATTACAAGGAGGGAGCTACCGGCATGCAGCTCCCTCCTTGTAATATGTAACTATTGAAGCGGCAGGGAGCAGTGCTCCCCACCACTTCATAAGCCCCCCAGTACCCCCTCTCACTCTATGGGGGTCAATATGACCCCTATAATAGCACAAGGGAGATTAAAATCTCCCAAATGCCCCTACTCGCTATACCGCGAGTAGGGGCATGTCTACTAAACAGTGAGCAGCCTATGGCTGCTCACTGTTGAAAAAAAAGACATAAATTACAATAAGGGGGGGCGGACCTATTGTCCTCCCCCCCTCCCCCACCCTGAGCGGCGGGTGGGGGCCATGAAGATAACGAGGGGGGGGACCTACTGTCCTCCCCCCCCGGCCCCCACTCCTGAGCGGTGGGTGGGGGCCCTTATAAAACAATAAGGGGGGACCTACTGTCCTCCCCCCCTGGCCCCCACCCCTGAGCGGTCGGTGGGTGGGGGCCCTTATAAAACAATAAGGGGGACACCTACTGTCCTCCCCCCCTGGCCCCCACCCCTGAGCGGTGGGTGGGGGCCCTAATAAAACAATAAGGGGGGGGACCTACTGTCCTCCCCCCCCTGGCCCCCACCCCTGCGCGGTGGGTGGGGGCCCTAGTAAAACAATAAGGGGGACACCTACTGTCCTCCCCCCCTGGCCCCCACCCCTGAGCGGTGGGTGGGGGCCCTAATAAAACAATAAGGGGGGGGACCTACTGTCCTCCCCCCCCTGGCCCCCACCCCTGCGCGGTGGGTGGGGGCCCTAGTAAAACAATAAGGGGGGTGGACCTACTGTCCTCCCCCCCCTGGCCCCCACCCCTGAGCGGTGGGTGGGGGCCCTAAATGAAACACCCCCCCCCAATCAAGGTGACTAGGGGTCCCAAGCCCCTAGTCACCCCCCCCACCCAAAAAAAACCTATCCCCTACCTACCCCCCTCACCCTAAAAATAGTGAGGGGGGAATAAAATAACTAACCTGTATAAAAAAAAAATAAACTTACCATTTGACGTCTTTTTTTTTCTAAAATCTTCTTTCTTCAGCCCCCAAAAAGGCCAAATAAAAATCCATCATACCCGTCGCACTTTAAAAAAAAACGAGCGCCCAAAAAAATTAATCCATGTTCGCCCTTCGAGGGCACGCCGCGTACTGAGCTCCGCAGGGCAGGTCAAGGCTTATAAAGCCTTGCCCCGCCCTGCAATTAGGCCTAGAACACTCTGATTGGTGGGTTTAAGCCAATCAGAGTGCTCTGAGTCATTTTACACAGCGTGGGAAAATTCAAAAGAACTTTCCACACCACTTAATACAACCAGTCTGTGTACAATTATGCAGAAGTTACAACATACACTTAACATGTATGGTTTTTCTAGTGAAGGAGGAAACTAAATGCATTTTTTATTTATTTTATTTATTTATTTATTTATTTATTGGGTTTATTTGTTTCTTTTGCAAAACTTTGATTTAACAAGATTACTAGATTTTCTGCTTTACCGGTGTATATATGTACAAATTGTGCCCCTTCACTGCTCCTTGGTCCAGTCCACCTGGTTTTTGTTGGGTGACAAGTGGTTCTAAATAAATAATGTTAATCATAATGGTACGAGGTATTCCACATACCATGCTATTTTTTTTAGATATATGTAATTCTGTTATTGCATCCAGCCACCTCCATCATCTCATGTGATGCATCTTGGGAGATCTGACCACTAACCATTATAGCTGCTTCCTCCAATGAGGAACCTTTTGGTTTTATACAGCGCGTACAGAGAATGCTAACTGGGTTTCTGCGTTTCAATTATAAACCTCAGTCCGTGGTTCGGAATATCGCACAGCGCCTGGCCAGATAAGGAGATGGGGGGAACCGTAAGTGCGTCTATTAACGGCGCAATTGCATAATTAAGGGAGTTTTCACAGGTGATATATATACAGCACATATCCACGGTAACGCGTTCTTATATCACCATGGCTTAACTCTGTGGTAACATATTGTGACATTTTACTTTATCACTTCCAAGTTAGATGGAGAGAAAAAAAAAAAAAATGAAAAAAGCGCATATATGCCATTGTCATAGCCTTCTGAGCCACGTGGGGGGCTATTCACACGTACGCGCATTCTATTTCATTTTTTTTTTCATACGTACTCCTCTCTCACTCACTACCCTCCCCTCTTAGTTAGTTGTTGCTGGCTGTCAGGGTCCTAGGTGTCCACTAGTGGTAATTCCCCCTGGCTTCTTTGCCTTAGGTTAGTCGTCCCCCGAGGCCAACACCCATCCTCATACTCGGAGGTACAACGCCCCTCGGGCCAAATCATAGTTAGTCGCCTCGCATCGTGGCATAGAGAGGGCCTCACCTGTCACTCCCATTCTATCTTATGTTTAGCTGTCACCGAGAGGCCGACACCCCGCCACGACGTTCAGTGGCCACGTTACCCCCTCGCGCCAACTCATAGATAGCGCCTCTCTCGCCGCTTGGTGTCTAGCAGGGCCTCACCTGTCACCGAACCTAGTTTTAATTGCTTCACCTTTTTGGCATTAGTTAGTATGCCAGCACGCACACTCACACATTTTCACACTTACGCGCACGTTGGGTCGCTTATGCGCTGTTTTATTCGTCTCTTTTTCTAGCAGGTCTCTGTTGCTAGGCATAGGCGTTGGTATTTTTCCGCCCGGGCTCTCTGGCTAGCTCTGGTTCTAATCGCGCTGTGGAGTTTCGGCTACTCCTACCTTCTTTCCAGGTCCTGGGCGCTTCCTCGCTTCGCTGCCGTTCTCGCTGCACTCTGTGTCTGTCCGCCTCCACGGGTGCTGGAGGGGGCCACGAGATCGCTCTTCTCCGTTGTTCACCCCCTGGTTGTCTTCGCTGCTGTCGTCTATGGGGCAATGTCGGATGGTAGTTTAGGGCAACTGGCACATGCCGTTTTGGCTGGATCCACACCGGTCTTCCTGCACCTCTTTTTTCGTACGATCGGTCCTGTGCCTCTTCTGCTCTTTCCAACATAGCTCTGCCTACAGATTCTCCCGTAGCCGCTACCATTCCCGGCATTTCGGGGCCTGATTGCGGGCTGTCAGGCTCGTGAGCTTGTGGTCGTCATCTTTCGCGTCTGGCTCTCTTTTCTAGCACTCGTGGTGCATGTGTTAGGACCTTTCTTCCCCTTGAGGTTCCTTTTACACTTATCCTGTTACTGTCTCTGTTGCTACGTTGTCTGCGATTTTTTCGCTTCTTTTGCCACCTCTTACTTGCATCATCTGCAATTGATTTTCGCTTCTTTTGCCACCTCTTACTTGCATCAACTCTACTTATCCAGTCTACAACTTCACATGTTGTACAAGTTTCATTCACACGCAGTTTCATCTCCTCATACCAGATTATTACCACACTCAAGGCGTTTCAGGTTCCGGAAATTTTTAATTTACAGATTTCCAATCAACATCCCAGTATTTCAATCACTATCAGACCTATTTCATGCCTGTCATCACGAACCGGGCACCAATCTTCAATGTAGGGCGACAATTGCTTGATCCAGGGATAAATCCGACTGCCGTTCTGGGGTCAAGAAGGAATTTTTCCCTAGCTTGTTGCAAATTGGAAAGTGCTTCAAACTGGGTTTTTCGCCTTCTTTTGGATCAACTGTTTTAATCACAAATACGAGGTAGGCCGGACTTGGTTTTTAGCTAAGTAACCATGTAGTCGAGCCACTATACATGCTTTCACTTTTTTCTGGGGGCCCACATATTTCCCAGATCCACCTTGTCATCTTGCAGCATTATCTCAGGAAGTCTCACCTATTCATGCAGTCTATTGGTTACCCTCTCTACCCCACACTTAGTTTTCCCTAGTTGGCCAACACGTTTAACAGACCTTACTTCCCCCTTGCCCAATTTAGAGTGCCGGTTAAAGTGCCGGGCACCTAACTCCTCACTCTGCATTTTACCATATAGCTAGGCAATTAAGGTTTTGTTGATTGTTTTTAAGTTTCTGGCAGGCATCTATTTTTGCCCTCTTTTATTACAGGCCTACCACGACGTCGGTTCCGGCACACCACAACCGACTTATTTCCCCCTTTCCTATACGGCCTTATTTGCCCCTCACACAAATGTAAAGGCTTGGCCGATATGATATACATCATATGTATGTGTGTTTTCCTGGCACTATAGTGGTCCTTTAAGCTATATGCCTGCTCAACCATAATTTACTTTTTCCATATTAAGTGCATCCACACTTAATATATATAATATTGTTCAGGAGAAATAGGGCTTTTATTTTACATCAAATATATATATATATCAGACACAATTAAATATTAGTAAATTGTAAGATAATGTGAGAGAAAATAAAGTTCTGCATGGCATTTTAGCTGTAGCTGTCAAAATATTGTTGAACTTTTACTGTAATAAAACACACACATTTGTATGATGTGATGTTCCATGAGTACAACAATGCCCCCCACATACATATTTCATAGGGTTTTGGAAAGTTACAAGTTCAAACATGGGACTTGCCCATTTCAGTTTTTGCACTCTAAAAATTTGCCAGATTTGTTTGCTGGGCCTATGTTGCCTTTGAGACCATATGGCAGCCCATGAATGAAAATGTCCCCCATCATGGCATACCATTTGGAAAAATAGACAACCCAGGGTATTAAAATGGGATATGTCCAGTCTTTTTAAGTAGCCACTTAGTGTTTAAATTTGGTTTGTGCATTTTCACCCCAAAACTGCATTTTCACTGATGATATCAACATTATACGTTAACTGCTCTAAAACACTTGTATTTGTGTTCAGTGATGTCACACAAGTACAACAGTGTCCCCATTGCACTTTGGCTTCTCAATTTGTGCATTGATTCTGCGGACTGACAGTGGCACTGTGCTTTAATCATAAAGTGTGGACAACATGTACACATACTTTCTGTCCGTTTACCTAAGGGCTAGCACCTCAACATGGTGCAGAGCACTTGTTTTGTCTTTGCAATTTTTGCCAGCGGTTAGCTTCTAGTGGAAACCTTTACAGTTCTTCCGTACTGTGCTACACCTTGAGCTCTGAAGAGGCAGGGTCCCATACACAGAGAGGACAAGTCAGATCACCCGCCTAGCTAAATTCAGCATTCAGTAGGGAAGGGATGTAAGAGTGACACCAGAGACATATACGGTGGTGGAACTACCACCAGTACCCTCTCTATATTTGTTTGGAACTGGACAGAAAAGACATGAAGACTCGTGCAACACAGATAGCAATGAGGTATGAAAAGAGAATAAACAGCAGGGAGGGAATGTGGGGTAAAATATAAATACACAAAGCATTGAGTGTGTCAGTCTCAACCAGCATCTTTAGGGATTGCTTGAATAAGGCAGTGATTTATACCATTAATTACATTGATACTATCCCTATCAATGTAATCAGTTTTGACATCTAAAAGTGCTTTAGGTATTTTCTATCAAGATCTTTCCCTTAGGGAAGAATATATTTTTATATAAATTTCTTTGATAAATTGTGTTAACCATGATAAAGAAATGTGATCAGAATATTCCAACCTGCAAACTGATGGGACACATTTAATGCCAAAATAGTCAAATTGGATACATTATTTAAATTAAAAGGTATGTTTTAAGCTACTCTGGCCTTACATTTGCAATTATCTGTTCAATTCCTGGAAACTAACAGTTTTGCAATTAAATTTGTGTTTTTCAATGTTTTTGTTAAAATAATAATCTGCATATGCTTCGAAAGGAAAGCACAATTACAAAATGTTACAGGAACAATAGATTGACGAGGACCCTGCTCAAAAGAGCTTACAGTCTAGTTTCACAATATCTAAAGAAGTATATTATGGAACTAGAAAAAGTACAGTGGCGAGCTACAAAATTATTAAAGGTGATGGAATATTTTAGTTAAAAAAAAATGCTAGAAAATGTGACCGCATTTATGTTAGGGGGAAAAAGGCATCTCAGATATGATGTGATAACATTATTCAATATATACAGGCGAAGGACAAGTAGGTATCTGTTTTATAAATGTATACAGATAACATTAACAACAAGATTAGCTATTCTAACAGTCACCACCTTTTCTTTACCTAACTGTGACAGATATAGAGAGGATATTGTAACATACTGTATTATATAGTGTGTTTGGTAACCTGTTAATTAATAGGACTGCACAAATAATAAGAGGTCAGAAAAAGAATAGAAGAAATTAGATTTTACATACTGCAGAGGAAAAAGTTCTTTACAGTAAGAAAATAAAAGAAAGTGTGGAATATTCTGCCTAAAGAGAATGGTTTAATCAGATTATGTACAGATATTCAAACATCCAGATGCTTTTTAGGAAGGACAGAATACTCAAAGGTATACTAGTTAATACGTGGGCATCAGATTGTTGATCCAAGAAGAAATCTGACTACAATTTTGGAGTTGAATTTTAGAGATTAGATTTCCCCCAAATGTAGGCACAATTGTAAATCACTGCAAACTGTGTTATTTGATTCATTTTTACATTAACAGCAGAAACAGAGATATGTAAAAAGAAGGAACTTGACATTTTGGAACTTGAGCCAATATTACTATGTCCTCTCACAAACAAAATATGAAGAATAGGTGCTGTTTACTCTTAGAACAGTTAACCTGCTAACTTGCATTAACTTTTATTGGTTCTGTGAACTTGCTTAGTTTTGAATTGAGGTTCAGATGAATAAGAACATGGTGACCATAGATTGTATGTTCTCCAACTGTATTGCCAGTGGTAGCTGGATCTTGTATGGAACCCTTGTGGTTTTAACTTAAAGGGACACTATAGTGTCAGGAAAACCGCTTGGTTTTCCTGACACTATAGTACCCTGAGGGTGCCCCCACCCTCAGGGTCCCCCTCCCGCAGCGCTGAAGGGGTTAAAACCCCTCCAGCTACTCACCCTTTTCCCTCGCCGGACTCCCTTACCTCTCCTCCCCGCCGACGTCAGCATCCTTGTCTGACGTCACCGGTGCCGAATGCGCATGCACGGTACTGCCGCGCGCGCATTCAAAGTGTCCGTAGGAAAGCATTTTTCAATGCTTTCCTATGGACGCTCTGCTTGATTGAGGCATAAAATGCCTCAATCATTGCCGACGCGCCTCTAGTGGCTGTCCAGAAGACAGCCACTAGAGGCTGGCTTAACCCCAGATGTAAACATAGCAGTTTCTCAGAAACTGCTATATTTACATCAGGCAGGGTTAACCCTTGAGCTGAAGTGGTCTGGGTGACTATAGTGTCCCTTTAAACCAAAGGATGGAACACTGCCAGCCAGACTAATGTGAAACTCTTTGCACAAGAGGTAGAGCCAGTGATTGCTTTACATTGCTACATTCTATCAGAAACATCATAAATAAATATTTAAAAAAAAAAAAATAAAACAGCATCCATTATAGATATATATAAAATAATTATTGTATTTTGTAGAAAATAGGAGATATTAAACATGAATCAAGTGTCACATACACCAGCCAATTGAAACATAGTTTTGACTATGAGTGCCATGAGTCTAACGTGATCCCAGAATATTTTCACTAACGATCTTCAAGAATCTTGATTGGTGATTACCCATTCATGTTATTCTGTCCTGGTTGGGCTCTGACCAGTGAACCGTGTCAACCTTACATTGAATCTATAACAAAAATATTAAATAACTAATGAAAAATCAGATTGAGTTTTTTTATTTTTTATTTTTTATTTTTTTATGCTTGATAACAGTAATATATAATCAAAACCTGTTAAAACTTTATTCTCTTTGATTTTTTATTAATACATATACATACATGCTTCATGATTATAGCTCTATATGTAAGTAATGAAAATAATTTAATTTAAAACAGAGCTTTTCAATGTTTTTTGCTTTCCAGGAACTTTTGATGCAATATATTCCAAATAACATTGCGGAATCCACTGGACATGAGGCATTCAATGACATAACAACTACAGCAGAACAGGTTTTTGACATTTTTATTGTTTAACATCATTTAACTATAAAATCCAAAGAAAATTATCTTTGCTCAGATTTTTTTCATATTGAAATAA